AGCTGCAGGCGCATGGGTGTGGACGGGGCTGTGGATGGAAGGAAAGGGGCGCGAGACGGGAGGCGCATGGGTGTGGACGAGGCTGGGGGAAGGAAGAGACGGGAAGTGCATGGGTGTGGACGGGGCTATAGGGAAGGCAGAAGGAAGGGGGCGCGAGACGAGGCTAAGAAAGGAAGGGAGGGAAGCGAGACGGGAGGTGCATGGGTGTGGACGGGGCTGGGAAGGGAAGAGGGAGGGGCGCGGGACGGAGGTGCATGGGTGTGGAGGGTGGTGGCGAAGGAAGGGAGGGAGCGAGACGGGAGGTGCGTGGGTGTGGACGGGGCGAACGAAGCATGGAGGGGGCCAATGCTGCTCCATGCTTCGCGGCAGAACGCTGTTGTGCGAGTGGAGCGATCTTGCGCGACTGATATGGCTGCTCCGGGTCAGTTCACAAGTAGAACGAAGCCTGGGTGGGGGTAGTTCTGCTCCATGCTTCGCGGAAGCACGTTCTGACGCGAGGGGAGCTGTGCTGCAGGACTTAAATGATTGTCTTGGGTGTCCAAATGTGCACAACGCATGCGCCAGACAGTCAAGTCATGGCCGGAGCGGCAGGATCGTTGCATGCCAGAACCGCTAATGCTTGAAATTTGATGGTTGGAACGAAGCATGGAGGGGGCTGATGCTGCTCCATGCTTCCTGGAATGGTTGTCAGAGGCCATGTTGCAATGGGGTTGGAGACTAGCTGCAGAGATTGAAAACAACCACTTGATATAGATATAGATATATAATATATATATATTTATAATACATCCAACCCAACCTCCAACCCGACTAAAAAGGGAACCGTCTTGTTTTCTCCTTACTGCAACGATATTTCTATCTAGTAGGGTCTATGCCGGTGTAAATTCTTAAGATCGAAGTCCGCAAAGGTTTGTTCGAGAAATACAAACGACAAATCCTCTCCTCCTGGGATATCTCCGCCATATCGACGCCCTGATCATGCCAACGATGCACGCCACGGGAAATCTATGCCACAAAATTTAACACTAGACGACGAATGGCCCGAAAGCATCTTACCGCGTGTGATGCACAGCAATACACATGCGTGTGCTTTTCCCAAAAGAATCTCCGATGCTTGGGTTCTCCTTTAGTTTAGTCGTTAGTGGGGGGGCAGAGCGAGACGAGGCAAGCATTTTCGTGGCCGGCAGATGGGTGTGTGGACGTGGCCATGGATGGAGATGGGAGGGGGGCCCCTGGACGGGGCCCTCGAAGGAAGATGGATGCTAAGTAGAACGAAACATGGGGGGGCTAATGCTACTCCATGCCTCGCGGAAGAACGGTATTGCGCGAGTGGAACTGTCTGGCGCGGCCTGGGTGCCCAGAATGTGTGCAATGTATGCCAAAGACAGCCCAAGTCATTGCAGAAACGGCAGGGTGGTTGCATGCCAGAACCGCAATACTGGCCAAGGGGTCGACGGGGTGTGTATGGCAGACGGGGGTGGACGGCTGCGCACCAGAACTGCGATGCTTGAAAAATCATGGTTGCCACAAAGCCTGGGGGGGGCTGATGCTTCGTTTTGGCCTGCCGATGTGTGTTTGTTTATTTTTTCTGGGTTGCGCGCTTCTTTTTGCTTTTGGGTCCGCGGGCTCACCTTGTATATTACCTATTTTTTGAAACCTTGTTTGTTTATTGTGGACCAATTATGGACGACCCTGACTGGCTAAGGACTTGTTCTTGCTCGCTGGCATGCTTGTGATCCTGGACATGGGCTCCCTGTTTGTTTTAAACATTGATGGCCCGTCCACGGCTGCGATTTGCATCGTTTTCTCCACGGTGATGTTCATTTCAATTGTCGCAGCAGTTTTCTACGGCATTGCAAAGCATGTGATGCTCAAGTATCACAAGCCATTTCGCTATTTTGTGTGCCATCAGAAGAATGCAGCAGGCAGCTGAAATTCTATAAGTGCAAACACCATTGTTTTTCTTGTTTTCAAGAAACTCTTTCTGAACAGAGAAATATTTGTTTTTGATATGTTCATTTGTCGTGTTGAAGGTAGCTATGCTCGCCTTCTGAAGATTGAGCTGCAGAAGCGGGGTCCTCGCTTCAGCACGTTCATCGACTGTGACGACCTGAATGATCTGACGAAGTTGTCTCTCGACACTCAAACCAAGTCGAAACCTTCATCATTTCATGTCATCTCAATTCATATCATTTCCTGAGATTTTGTTCCGAGGTTTAGCTATGTTGGTCAGGATACACAGACTCTCTTAATTCTTGGATCTCCACAGATTTTGACACGGAAGTGGTGCGTGGGCGAGATGGTGACTGGCAGGATTGAGAATGTGCACACAGTCTTGTTGACCTTCCCAGGCTTTGTGATGCCTGATGAGAGTCTCTCGGTTGAAAGAAACACTCCAGAAGGACTGGCCATGGTGCTTTTTTGTCCGTCCTGGGGTCCTCGAACGAATGTTTTCCTGAAGAGCAAAGCATGTTGATTGATTTAATTTACTGTGTCATACTTGTACTTTAGGCGCTTTAGGCTTCCAGACAGTTCCTGAGTCTCACTGCCAGCTGTTGAGGTTTTATTGAGACTTACACCACTCTTGTGCCTGATATCACCGAGCCTCGCCTCAAGATCAGCCACAATTTACAATTCCCTATTTTGTTATCAACATTTCTTGGTGCTATTGAAAACCAAGGAGCTTGCCAACTACAACATTGGTCTTGACGAAGTCAAGGAAACCTTGAGATGGATCAACACCGTTTCCACTGTAGACGTGCCTGCTCTCATTCACCCGGAGACCATCACTGATGTGGTGAATGCCTTGACAGACACTCGAAGGGCAGCATCAACCAATGTGGATGCCCACCAGGAGTCTTGTAAACAACAATTACAGTATGCGAACGCATGCAACAATATGCTAACGTTGCATCCTGTTGTGCTTCTTTGCTGCGATGCTTTGCTACGATCGGGTTGAATGTTATGAAATTGTTTCGTAAGTCGTGCTTGTTTGCCGCGTTGGACTTGACCCTGAGGAGTCTGGGTGTCTCATCCTTGTGGATCTTGACAATATGGAAGCTTCAGCGTCGGCATTTGTTTTGCTTGGCCTGATCCAGAAGAAGGTGATTGCTGGTGTTCAGGGTTCGGTTCCGCATGTACTGATGAAGCTCGGAAATTGTTTCACTGGTTCCACTCAAGTGCAAGAGCTTTTGACATCTTTTGACCTTTGCTTGTCGTGGAAATACTTGATCAGTTGTTTTGAATGTGCCGATACTAATACAAAAAGAGAGTTTCCCTTGTTCAGCAGTGGTGCCGCGCAAAGGAAAGGCAACAAGGTTCCTCCTACCGTCCAGTCTGTGCTTTTGATTTGCAGTGACTTGGTCAGAGAGGTATCGGCAGTCGGCAGTGGCTTGTGTGCCAATTGTGACCAGCTTTGTTTTTCCAAATTGGACCGATGTGCGCCACTCAACAAGGATTAGAATTATATAGACGTGATTGACCAGTGTCTTTGTCCTTGAGTGGGTACACTACCCACTGGGGCCGGCCCGTTGCAGGCCCGTTCGTCACAGGCCCGTCGAGAGCGGGGCCCGTCGGGCCCGTCGACGGTCTGTCATACGTGAGATACTAAATTACTAAAGGCAGCGTAAGGCAGCCGTGTCTTCTTTTCCAAACTGGCGCGAGGATTATTTTGATTTCAAGCTTAAATGCAAAGCTTAGCCAGGAGATTCCTCAAGCTTTTTGCGCAGATGCTACAAATGAGTCTACAGTAGCTGTATAGCAACTCTAAACTTTGTGTCTAACATGCTGCAACATGCGATGAACTTGCCTCAACCCAACAAATTTGCACTGTAGATCAGGCGCTGTAGAGCGATATATGCGCGGATGGGACCAATGGATGAGTTGTGCAGTGTGTGTGCAGATAGTCAAAAGCATATGCTGTCCGTATCTGGGGCCTTAAAAACGCAGGCTGTGTGCTGGTGCTTTTAGTTTGCTATAATGTCGACGTAGGACTCATATTACGGGACCCCCCCCCTCCCCTTCAAGGTCAACAAGGTCTGAGATCGGAGGTATTTGAGGACCACATCCCCTTAATAAAGATGATGACCTGATGATGGATGATGAGATGAGGACGTGGACCTGATGATGGATGATGGTTGATGGGGTTCTGTGCCATGAGAAGCCATCAAAAGGATTGGTGAGCAGAATGAGGCAGTTGAGAGGTGGTGGTGAGAATCAGGAAGATGAGGAGCTGAAGATATTCAATGCTAGCAAAAAAGAAGCTAATGAAAAATTATCAATACAATAGTAAACTATATTTTTTCTGGGGCAGCTGGGATTGATTAATACGGGGAGGTTTCTGCTAGGAAAAAAGTTATTAGGGTGATGCCAAGGTGGAAATCTAGGTTTTAAATTAGTTTAGTACTGGGGGGTCGAGCTGGGATTGATTAATAGGGGGTGGTTACTTGATTAATCCTATGTGCGCATTACAGGGTGCGTTTCAGGTTTGCTTCGTTTTGCTTTGCCGCACTTGTCAGAGAACACAACTAGTAACAACTAGAACAGATGAGCAACAACTTTCACTTGGGTTTTACTAAAGTCGTCTACGGCATGCTCTATGTCTACTTGCTTGTCTATCAGCAGTATTTGCTTGTGAACGAGATAGGCCCCCACATAAAGGAGATACTTTTGCTTGATGCTAAAGTAGTCTGAACGAGATAGTGTGATTTGCTACTAAAATAGTCCCAACGAGATACTGTGACATGACCTTCTACTTAAGTAGTCTAAACAAGATGGGGCCCCCACATAATAGATAGTGTGTTTGAATTTAGTACCAAATAAATACCGCTGCACAAATAACTGCTGCACTCTGCTCTTGTTGCGCGCGCCAGACACACAAACAAACACTATGTGGTAGAAAGAAAGTTGTACCTCACGAGCGCGGGCCCGTTGGCCCGTTGCCCGTCGGGAGCCCGCTGGGGGCCCGTCGGGCCCGTTGGGCCCGTTGCCCGTTGTGGCCAGTTGGGCCCGTCAAGTGTTTGACCCCAGTGGAGATTTCTTTTGAGTTGAGACAGGATGCACAGAATTGAATTGGGATTTCGGAACACGATGGTTTCTGACCATGACTTAGGCGATGGCTGCTTTTCCTCGCTCAACATTGCGCGCTGGCTTCTAGAAGTGCTGCAAGTGGCGACTTGTTCTTTGCCACTTGGAGGATCGAACAAACAGACAAACATTACGCAGCAACGGCAACTTGGGAGGAACCGCTTCCAGTGCCTTTGTGCTGAGGCTGCCCATAATCGCGGAAGATGGATTTCGATTCCCATCGGATTCCTTCTATGACCAATTGGTTGCCAATCCTGAACTTCAAGACCTAGATCTTGCATCTAGCCTGCCACGAACGCTCGCACTTGCGTACACAAATTATGTAGTTAGTTATTTTTTACTTAAATGATCATTTCTGCTGCGTTGTGCTTTGTGCAGAAGATGTCAGAAAACCGACAGCAGTATTCAAATTTGTCTCCAGCTGAGGACACTTATGTGAGAATCATCAAGGGAGTCTTCCAGGATAGTTCAAGCAGACAGCATTCAACAGATGTTTAGGGTTGCAAACCACAGCACTTTCTTCAGAGAAGACTATTGCAATGTCATTGCACCGGGGCTCACCCAACAATTAAGAACAAATAACGTTCTTGTTCCTAGTAGTAAGGCCAGGAGCCCCTAGTAGCGTCCTTGCTCCGAGTAGCGATGCCCTTTGTTACTAGTAGTTTCTTGTTCCTAGTGGAAAGGCCAGGAGCTACTAGTTCGCGTAAGCAAACCTGAATGTATGGAGAAAAGCACAAAGTGTCACTTCTGGCTGCTGACTTGTGCAAGAAACTCGTGTAGAGAACTAGCCGAGAAGTTTGGAATGTTGCGTTTGTGTAGCAACAAACTTCAGTGGGGAAAACGGTTATGATTTATTTATGTTTTAAAGTGTGAAGCTGAATGACAAGGCCGCTTACCAGAGACCATGCAGAAGATATAAATAATAGGCCTCGAGAGCAAGAAAACTTCGACGACACTCGTTCTGAGACGAGGTTTTGTTATTCATCTTAACTAGGCAAGAGAACCAAGAGAGCGATAGAGAGACATGATTTGAGACTCAAGAGGTTCTCGTATACTGCCGTAGTATGCTGTTGTTTGTCCTCCAGGAGATTGCTGTGGTTTTTTCACCACAAAACTACTCGTCCACAGCAGAGGATTTAGAGCTTCGCGCTTCACAGGCCCACCCTGTTGCGGCATATATAGCCATTTGTGGCGTTGCAAAACGCACACGTTTTTTGTGCATTTCGAAAACCGCATCCTAGTAGGTGGCATGGCGTTTGCAGAATGGTTTGCAACCTTTGGCGACCAAAGTGCAGCAGGGAGAGCTTCAGGTGATCATGAAAGTGTTTGTTGAGTTTGTTCCGTTGAAATGCGAATACATTCTATAGAGAACTTCTCAAAGATTGATGCCTTTTCCACATGGAAAGTGAAAGCCTTTGCCATGAGGTGAAGAAGCCTCGTGCAGAAGATCAAGAAGTTGACATGGTTAGAGAAATATTTGAGATGGTAGACCCAGGACCTGTAATGGTGATGCAATTGTGATCCTATTGGTGTGTTTAGACCTTCTTAAACCGTCACAATAACAAGTTTATCAGACTTGGGAGAGCTCAAAGTTAGACTGCCTTGTTTTTCAGATGTTTTTGTGCCTGTAAAAATGGTCTAAGAAGGTTCTTCTCAGTGCTCGCAGAGCACTGAGCACCACATGTTCGGCAGCTGGCAGCCATGGCCATGGACATGGACTCACTGCGATGAGGTTGTCGACCCTTCGTGACAATGGCTCAAAGGCAAACGGAAGGGTGCACAGAAAGGGTTTTGCAAAAACCTATTCTACTAACGTCGTGGAAGGCGCGTGACCTTCGTAGAACCCAAGGCTGTTCGTGGACAGTTCGTGGAATGGTGGGCCAGTAGGAGAACTGACTGCAACGAAATCCCAGAAACCTTCGCAGAACTTCGTGGAAGGTATTTTTGATGCACTATCTTCGTATAAGCATGTATAAGCGATTTTTGCTGACCCCCTTTCTCCACACACCCTCCGTTTAGCCTTCAATGGCTTCGTGGCCAAGCCGGAGCGAATCGCTCGGATTTATACATGTGTTTTCTATTAGATTGTGTTTGCGCTGGGGACGGGGATCCCAGAAGCGAACACATGGACTTTAGTCCCATCCGAAGTCCTCAAGAAGTGTTTGGACGCGTGTTGTGAGCATATTCAGCCACTTTGGGGAAGTAGTGCCAAATTTTGGAGAGGTTTTGGAGACGGAGGATAGACCAAATTAGCAGATGGGGATCCAACCAAGTAAACGATCGAAACATTAACATGCAGGCACACAATGGCACACAAACATACTTAGGTGATGTAAGTGGATCCCTGGACTGAAAAAGATGGTTGAAGTATCAGTTTTGCAGGCCTAGGCTAGAGGACCTAGCTTGCGGCCTGGATTCAGCGAATTGTTGCCCAAGTCGGCAGATAAGTCGGCCGAGGTGCATCGCTACTAGTAGCAAGAAGTTACTAGTAGCCAAGGGCATTATTACTAGTAGCAAGAAGCTTGTAGCCATGGACGGTAGACATTGACAGAAATTGCATTGCCCAAATGCTCGAGTGACCACCCATTAGATAGCAGCTGAAGCTCGACATGCGACGTGAATTTCAAGAAGCTCAACGCTGGTGAAGTCGGAAATCGACAGTAGCCTGCAAGTCATGTCAACTCGTGCTCCCAAAGGGATACTGTAAGAAAAAGAATCACTCTCTTTGCATATGCAGTGGTGGCTCAGCCGCCAGTGCATGAATGCATGAATGCAATGCCTGCCAGCTTCATGTTTGCAATCTGATCGTTTGCTGATTGCTTCACTGTTCAAGCCTGCCTGTACTTGTATGTTTGGATTTAATGATTACAACTAGGTCGCGCGTACTTGAATAATGGAGAAGCTGGAATTGGCTTTGCGTACCTGCCTTCCAAGTACACATGCATGCAGGTTCCATGAGCAGAACTCAACCAAGGAAAATAGGTTTTTGTTCTTTCCTGGATGACATGACTCTAACACAGCGCATGCATCCGTGAAAACCATACAACAGAGTATGACGCAGCCTGAAACAGTTGATTAACTTTGACTTTAACCACAGGTTCTTTCTTCAACCTCCAAGCTCGTTATTGCAAGCGCTGTTTGCGCTCTTCAAAAAGTCGCTATGGCGAAGACCTTGAACACGTTCATCGTGCCCATCGTTTTGCTCCTGCAGGTCAGAGATCTCAGTGGGAATGCGTTCAAAAGGTCTATGTAGTAGTTTTTGTTACTACTAGCGTGGCACTTGTTACTACTAGCGTGGCACTTGTTACTAGTTTTTGTGATTGAAAAGTAGAAAAGGGAAGATTGGTTTCACATCTGTCGTGGTGTCTTTGGAAACCTGTCCCTTGAGGCTTTCGCAGAAGAGGCCCAGACCTTAGTTCTCGAGCGAAAATGTCAACCTCAGTCACAAACCTAGAGATCTTTTGCTCCTAGTAACCGTCCTTGCTCCTAGTAGCGATGCCCTTTGTTACTACACGATCTTGACTCGCGTCCCTTCCTCCCAACCACCAGTTGCCTCCAAAGCCTTTTCAAAACGTTTGCGGCTTGTAGACATGTGATGGGACATTGGGCGACGCCTCCTTCAGCAGTCTACCTGTTAAATTGGCGGCGAAAGCCTCAGGTGCAGCTTGAACAGCTTGTGCAGAAGGAGGCAACGTATGGATGTTTCATGATGTGTGTTTTTGTGTTTTTGCTCTCGTGTCATTGTCCTGTTGGAACTCGTTGCCCAGGTATTGCAAAAGCAAGATGTATTGAAAAAAGAAATAACCGCGCTCTTAGAAGCAGAGCGACAGAGCAGACAGAAGGAAATCAATGAGATTGATGGGAAAATCGGCGCGAAGGTGAAAGAAATGCGAGACGAGGCTGAACAGATGCAAGTGAAAACTCAAGATGCTCTCGCCAAGCAGATCCAGGACTGCGTTTAATCTTCCGAGAAAATACACCAAGAGGATGCCGGGCAAAGCCTGCATCATGTATATACATTATTGATCATTATTGTGTGTAAACTCAATATTGTTTTGTTGCAATTCTTCCAAAGCTCTCCTTCTAGTTGTTTAAACATGTACTGCAGGTACTGCATGTTCGGTGTCGAGCAGAATCCATCTGTGCGTGATGTGCGTTTCTTCCTGCCCAACACTGTCCTAGGGCCGCTGAATACTGTCCCTTTCTCATTTGTCTTCCAGTAGCTGGGGTGCCTGCTTCAAATTCACCCTGGCAAGTTTCTGGTCCCAAAACTCGTGGTTTACTCTTGCTATGTGCATATTCTGAAAAAGCCACCAACTGTTGTGGTTATGATACAGTATATGTTTTCTCAGAACCCTGTTCTTGCAGGAGTTGGAAGGCAAGCTTGCCAAACAGCAGAAAGAAAGTGACGAAGCCTTGAATGCAGTAAAGAAAAGCGTGGCAGACCAAGTTGCAACAATGGCAACAGCACTTGAAGAGTATGCAAAAACATTGACTCAGCAGAGAGAAGAAGCTTCGACCAATCTGCAAAGCCACAAGAAAGAGTTTGCTGAGCACAAGGAAACTACCAGCAAAGGGTTAGACGCGCACAAACAGGCGTTGGAGAGCTACAAATCCGAGATTACTAAAAGCTTCGCAAGTCAGCAGCAAGAGCTGGAAAGCCACAAGAAAGTAGCAGCAGAGCAGATTGAGTCACACAAGAAGGAAGCAAGTGCGGCACTC